TGTAAAGTGTGGGATTCGAACCTGGGTCAAATCTATACAAAAGAAGACACTAACCACATTGTCACATGAGATGTTATGATTTAAACTTAGACATAAATATATATAATATATTATTATATAAATAATATATGTAATATATTGTTATATAAGAAGTTATATAATTTTTTTTTTCGAGCCATTTCGAGCCGAACACGAGCGAACAAACTGTTGTTCGTGTTCGGCTCGTTTACATTTCGAGCTTAAAAAATTGTTCGTGTTCGGCTCGTTAGGCTTAACGAACGAGCCGAACACGAGCTGCTTAACGAGCCGAACACGAGCTGTTCACGAACAACGAGCCAAATTGACAGCCCTAGTTATGGGACTAATAGTCTAACATCTTTTTAGGGGAAAGGGTTGACTCCTCATATAGGCGTCTCAGAATGGATGCTTTATATGTAAAAACCCATATGTGTATAAACATCCCAATTTTATAGGGAGCCTATCTTATTTCTTGTGTTGTAAAACAGCGTGATAAGTAATTAATTTAATTACATAGATTTTTCTTAAAAAAAAAAATTACAACCGACAAAATCGACTTGCTTCAAGTCAATTTCCTCCATTTGAATAACCAATTTTTTTTGCTATATTAAACATAAAGGTAATTTTACATTTTTTATAATCATATTCTTAAAAAATATTGGTATATAATTGATACGCCACCAACAAATTTTCATCATCCGACACGAATCTCGATGTAATTTTTTGAACAAGAAATATTCAAACTTCGATTAAGAGTCATCCAGAGCTCCGATTTCAGCAAACTTATAGTCAAATTGATCCGCTTGATGAGACGGATCTAATGATATAAAAGTCGGTCCAATCCATGTCAAACCAAGCCCATATCAAATCATTAAACCACACTTGAAGGATTTTTGGAGGCATTTGAAAGGTCAAACGGATATCGAATCTAGCGAGTTCATAGTCGAATCGAGCATCTTGACAAGAAAAATCCAACGAGCCCAAGATTGCTCAATTTTGACATCGTTAAGGCACTAAAATGTCCATCAAACATCATCTGATCGAGGAAAGCTCTCTGGATCGTCTGATCAAAATGGTTCATATTCCTGCATTAATTGCACCCAAAACACTATAAATAGAGTTTCACCCTTCACATGAGGGGGGAGGCTAGAGAGAGAACTTGATGCTTTGAGAAATAGCTCAAGCCAACATCATTCTTGCCATCGTCGACCTTCATCGTCCACCACCGATCGCCGACGACCACAACCAACCTCCGTCGATCACTGACGACCTCCGTCGACCACTGTCGACCATCATCGACCACCGTCAATCACCGCCGCCCGTCATCCACCGTCATTTATCGTCGACCACCGTTGACCCGACATCGTCAGACGATGCTGCAACCTGAAAATCTAGCAACCATGTCCCGTCTGTGGGACAAGGGGTCGCTATAATCATCAACATATTGTGGATTTTTATAACTGGGTCAGGCCCCGTGGTTTTTTCCTTTTACGGGTTTTCCATATAAAACCTTCTGATGTCATCACTGGTTGTTTCACTTTCATCTGATTATGTGTTGAACTCTCATGCAACGCTAAGACAATAATCAATTAATCTACCACCGCGAATTTTCTAGCACGCATCAGTTTGGTGTCATCTGGTGGAAAGTTTCAATCCCACAACTAAAGTACTTACGCGGTTTACTACATGGCCACCATACACAATATTCGTGACAATGGAGCATCCCGCTCCAACACCCATCGTTCTAGGGAGCAGTCACGAAGCCAGTGGTGGCATGCTTCTTCATCTTCCCGCCCTAGAAGACATTATCCCTCCAACGAAGGTGTTTTGGCTCCTTCAATAGAAGATCAAATGCGTACAGTGGAGGAGTCTCAACTAGAGATCCTATAGCTCTTACGCGGGGCTCAACGGCCGCTGCCTACACCATTTGATGAAAATTGTTTCTCATTAACTCCACGATGTACGAGAAACATACTGCTTGGAGGAACTCGTACCGACCCGCCTCCTCAAGAAAGAACACATCGCCTGTCAGGGCGTGATGTTGAACTCCTACATACCACAAGTTCCACTCATTTATCTCATGCAGCTCACCTGACATCGCCACATCTTCCTGCCATTCCAAATAATGTCATTGGAAACGAACTACGACGTCTCGTCCAGAAAGAGTTCCCCTTAGAGAAAAAGGATCTCTTCTACGCTCACCGTAACATCCATGAATCTTCTCCCTAAACGGATGCGGTCCTCCAACACCTCATGCCAACAGGCTTTAAGCTTCTGAATATCGATACATATGAAGGGACAACCAACCCTTACGAGCATATTGATTATTATCGAACTATCACGCATATTTAGCGTGCCTCTGATGCTCTTCTGTGTCAAGTATTTCTGGCTACTCTTAAAGGATAAGCTTGAACTTGGTTCAACTCTCTCCCAGGGGGGGCACTGTAAACACCTTTAACGAGTTTGTCAAACTGTTCGCGGAGCAGTTCATCACAAATCGAATGATCATAAAGGATTCGTCGCATCTCTCGGAAATTCGTCAAAATGAAGGAGAGTCGCTCAAGGACTACTTCCACAGGTTTTCTGCTGAAGCCCGTCAGATTCCGGGGTAGATCCGGAGTTACTATAGGGGGTCTTCCTTGGGGGGCTCCTCCCAGGACTTTTTACTTATCACTGATGTGGGAGACAGTTTGTTCTTATGCTGATCTTATCCACCGTGTTGAGGCCCAAATCATTGCGGATGAGGCCATCAACGCAAATAAAGAGCAGTTTGAGAAATTTGGAGGAAAGCGCAAGAATATCAGTAGAGATAATAATAAATCTTTGCAATGGAGAAAGTCAGAACAACAGAGGAATCGTGACCTCCTTCCTCAACTTGCAGGCCAGCGAAGTGAGTATCAAACTAAGAAAGAGTATACACCGCTCAACACATCACGTGCTAAAATTTTAATGGCTATCAAAGATGAGCAAGTCGTTTAGTGGCCTCACCCCCTAAAACCTAACTTAGGGAATCAAGAACAATACTGTCATTTTCATCAAAGTCGTGGCCACTCCACAGAAGCGTGTAAGCATCTCAAGGAAGAAATTGAAAGGTTAATTAAACAAGGATATCTTGGTTGATTTGTACACACAAACCAACTAGTAACGATAATGCTCCTATTGAGAGGCAACATACACCAAGGTAGCAAAATGGGGGGTCACCCAGTTATAGGCAAAATTCAAACAATTGTTGAAGGCCCATTGCTGATTGAACAGTCCTTATCACTATCCCTGGTGAACTAATGCAGAAGAAATTGCGCCTCAAGCCTATCACTTTTGATGATTCCGATTTAGAAGGAGTTCGAGTCTCCCACCAAGATCCTCTCGTCATTAGCACAGGAATTGGCGAGCCCTACTATAACGTAAAGAGGATCCTGATCGACAATGGGAGCTCTATCAATGTCTTATTCTATTCAACTTTCCTCAGTTTTGGATTGATAAGGTAAAGACTTAAACCTGCATCCAGACTATTATATGGTTTTGATAATCGACCATTGAGGGTCGAGCGAACAATAAATCTCCCTGTTGTCTTAGGAGATTTTCCTCGACAGATAACCCACCTAGTCCAGTTCATCGTTGTCAAATCAGAATCAACATATAATGTTATCTTCAGGAGACCAATGCAATCAATTTTTGGCATCGTGACTACTATAACACACTTGAAGATCAAGTTTCCAACCCCAGCAAGGATCGGCATCATGCAAGGTGATCAATAGACAACACAATAATGTTACCTTAGACAAGCTCAGCCACACCCGTCAATGACACTTAGCATTGAAAACTTCAATCTTCGAGATGAAGATGTATCTCGACGGGCTTCTCGCGTGGAAGACTTGGTTCAAATTCCACTCTTTGAGAAATATCCCTTGAGAACACTGCAGCTTGGTTCCCTACTCTCCGATGAGAAAAGGTCGAAATATGTAGATCTTCTCCAAAAGAATCAAGACATTTTTGCATGGACTCCGGCCGACATGGCTGGAGTTGACCCAAAAATAATCATGCACTCTTTAAAGGTAGACTCGGCCTTGAAACCGGTCATCCAGAAGAAGCGCAAGTTTGCCCTAGACTGCTTAAGTCAACAAGCTTCTTGAAGCAAAGTTCATACGAGAAGTACATCATCCTGCATGGCTAGCCAATATCTTCATGGTTTCATAGAGAATGTGTGTTGACTATACAAACCCCAACAA